CTATGGTGCATTGACTCAAACTCAATGTCTTACCCATATAAGGCGTGTTAGGCCATAATTCCGTGGGACTTGAACCCAATCACGGTGCATCAAAACTCTAATTGATGTCTTACCCTTTTGGTGCGATAGAACTTGAATCTATCGTCTTATCCTCAAATATTTTTTATTATGGTGCATCCGGACTTTAACCTGATGTCTTACCCTTTTGGTGCGATGAAACTTGAATCCATCGTCTTACTCTTAACCAACGGTATAATAAATCGAAGTACAACATGATTTATTCTTTGAGTCTTTCAAAACAATCAAAATAATATTCAAACTCATGCTATTAAAATTTTATACCTTTTCCATTTAAGATGTTTTGTATATCATGTCATATTCAACCAATAGTAGTATATGTCTTGTCTTCGGTTCCTGATTTTATGCATATAATACTTTGATCTTCATAACGAGATCAACCAAAATATGAGCTAAAGAAAAACAAGAACTCACTCTCAATTAGATAGAGACTCGTGCTGATAACGTGTTATAAAATTAAGTTCATGGCAATATAAATATAAAGAGACGAAAACAAGAGAAGTAAGATGGAAGAGAAGACTTTCTTCTTATTCAAGTGTGTTCTACAAAAGGTGAATGATATCTCTATTTATAGAGTTGAGATATTACCCCAAAGGTCACCATGATAAATTCCCAATTAGTAGGTACATAGTTATCCAAATGGTTCTTATCACCTTGGAAACATGTATACATGAATACAATTAAGTTTTGAGTATATCTAAAGGACAATCCACACAATTCAATGGATTTATAACAATATTATTTTATTTGTTTGGAATTTTTTTTTATTTAATTTACATTAAAAATTTAAGGAAGATTTATTTTACCTTTTTTTATTGGAAAACTTTCACATATAACCACTTAAAAATGATTAATTAGTCTCCATAGCTGTAGTGTGATAACTAAAATTTATAGCTACGTGTTATCTGGAGGAGAGAGGCGAGCGAGACTGGGAGAGAGAGGCGAGAGGCGAGAGAGAGGGGGAAAAGAGTGGGAAAAAGATGATTTGTATATGTATATTGGTTATATAATTGTGTATTATACATATGTTTTTGTATATATGGCAAGAGAGATCGAGAGGTAGGGAGAGAGACGAGTGAGATCGAGAGAGGAAGGAGAGAGAGGACAGAGAGTGGGAGAGAGGTGAATTGTATATGTATATAACTGTATATTATACATATACATTTGTATAAATGGCAAGCGAGATTGGGAGAGGGAGGAGAGAGGCGAGCGATATCGAGAGAGGGAGGAGAGAGGCAAGCGAGAGAGGGCAGAGAGTGTGAGAGAGGTGAATTGTACATGTATATAGGTTAAAAAAATTGTATATTATACATATGGATTTGTATATCCTGGCGACTTATGCATATACAAACTCGATTTCAGCCCACGTAATTAAATAGTATAATTTTGCTTAGCCTCGTAATTTTTCCTTTTTTTTATTTTACGAAAGGAACTTTTGAAACAATTTTTTTTCTTAAAAAAGAATAATTCTTTTTTTTGTTAAGTAGCAAAGTGCATCCTACTTTCACGTAGGAAGTTAGATTCCTCTTTGAAATTTTATTTTCCTTTATATTTACTATCTAGTTACGAAATTTAGGATTTTTTTTAAAAAAATATTGAGAACACAAATAATATGTATTTGAGGGATACATATTATTTTATACTTTAATTTTCTTCGTTAGAAATTTATGCCTTTTCTTTTGTTTCTCCTAAAATCCTACTCATAGATACACCATTACATGAAGAAAAAAAAGGCAATTGGGGAGCAACATCCACTGGAATAATTCTCTTTCATCGGAAAATTATATCGTAATAGGTTTGACAATTTATATTCTTTTTAAAATTTCATCACACTAATTGTGTCATGGCTAGGGTTTAACCATAATGGAATATTCTAATCATTCTACAAGGTTTTGTTTTTTAGGTCAAGTGTGTTCTTAAGGATTGATAATTTAACATTGTGATCGAAAATTGAGATGAAAATTTCAATCTATTGGTACAATTATTTTTTACAAATTGTAGAACTTTAGAAAATTCTTGTTCCTCTTTCAACATGTTGATTATGGATTATTTTTTAAAACATATACTATTAATGAAATTTCAAAGATTCATGTGTATTTTTCAGGTAATCAAGAATGGTTTGGGGCAATTATTTGTGCGATTATTGTGCAAGATTTATTCGACCCTATTATTATGGTGACTTAGTGTAAGTTAGCTTTATTTTCTTGAATTTTGTTTGAATGAATTTTTACTTAAATTCTGATTAATTCTAAATGTTTTTTTTTTTTAACTTTGACATTGTAGATGTTGTAATTTGTGTGGAAAAGTCCTTGATGAAGATAAGGTTTGTATTTTTACGAAAATTATTGATTCCTTCGATCTATGCCCGAAATCTCAGAGACACACTTATACTATACTAAGATCCTGTTATTTCCTGAATTTATTTTATAACTAATTTTTTACCCCTTTTGGCCTACGTGGCACTAGCTTGAAAAAGAAATCAACTAGCGTTGGGCTCACAAAATAGTGCCACGTAGGTCGAAAAGGGATGAAAAATTATTAATAAAATAAATGCAGGAGGGTAACAGAGATTTTGGACATATATTGAGGAGGTACTTGTGCATTATCCCATAATTTTATGAAGTTTATTGTGTTTTAAATACCCTAGTTATTAATGTCTTTTTAGATAAAATTGTAAAAATGAAGATTTTCTAATTAAAATTTTGAAAAAGAGAAAAGAAGAACTTGATATAAACAAATTTCCTCTACATATTTTCGTTGAAAATATATTTTTTTTAAAAATGTGATGTGATCACTCTCTAATAGCTTTAATTTTCACACAGAGATTGAAGTTTTACATAGTGCTAAATATGAGAGATTTTATATAAGATATAATGGTATATCGAGTTATAACTCTTTCGGAATGAAAAAGATATTTCCTCATCATCCCTAAATCTTGTAAACTCTATCAAAATAAAAAAATTACGATGTTATCTCATATAAACTCCTCGATAGTTTCACTCTAACCGGAGAAAATAAGCATAGATTAGGACATGAGATAAAATTAATTACTTGTACGGTCGTCACTAAGTTATCTAGTAAAGTCACTTTTTTATTATAATTACAATAATATCCTTATACATGCAGAGTAAGGAAATTGATCCCGCAATAGAGAAAACATACGAAGAAACGATCGAGAATGACGTAGAGTATGGAAAGGATACAACTTACACAGAGATACGAGAAGAATGTAAGTAAGATTCAATTTATCATTGGGGTGAACGGATTATAACGATATATTTTTATGAGTTAATTTTACTTCGAATTCAATGATCAATTTTTTAATATGTTTTTCTTTTAAATTTAATTCAGATAATTCAAGAAGAGTTTGGTGTAATCATTGTGTGAAGTCAATCAGTCAACCCCACTACTTTGTTAACAAAATGTGAGCTTTATTCATCCGACACTGCATTTTTTTTTCTCGTCATCAATTTAAAAAATGAAGAAATAATTTTATCGTTGCGTTCCTAATTTACTTTCATTATTTATAATTTATTCTAAATGCTTCTTTTTCTTCACATTCTAGATGTTGTTCCATCTGTGGGAAAGTCCTCGAAGATAATATCCATTTTATCACACGATAGGTTTGTTTTTAATCTTCATTAATTTATTTATTTTCAATTTATAAGTTAAGGTCATGTTGTTTCACTTCAACATTAACAATCCATAATACTATCTTCCGGTTTCCTTTAGAAATAGCTAATATAAGAGGCATAATAAGACTCTATAATTATAGTTTCAATAATTATACTTGTATACTTTTGTCTGTTTATATATTTTGCTTGCAGAATATACAAATAAGGTAAGTATATGCATATTCTATATTTATACATTTAATATTTTTTAGAGCTTCGTTTGTATATTTCGTTTGTCAAAGAATAATTTTAAATCGTATACAAATTAAGAATCAAATTATACAATCAAACGCATTATACAAATCAAACAAATTATTCAATCAAACAAATAGTAAGAGAATTGGAAAAAACTATAACCACGATATATAATTTTATAATAATGTAGCTATAAACCCTAATATGAACTAAATATTTCCTATTTTGCACAATTTTTCCTAACCTTTACATAGACCTTGACTAGTTTATCTTTTAATAAGATTTGGGATGTTTGAATATATGCAGACATTAACAAATTAAAAAAAATGAAAGAAGAATAAAATTTTGAATCTGAATTATTGTATCATTATATAACTGGTATTGCTACAAACTCTCCGTAGTCCAAAAAATATCACTCGTTAGTTTCCTTTGTTCCTTCCAAGTAACATTATATTGTTAATTTATTATTGCTTTTATCCGTTTCAATTTATCTAGCATTATTTGAGTACACTAAAAATTTAAAGATATTTTAATAAAATTTATCATGTAAAACACATATTAGATTGTAAAACAAATATTAGATATTTGTATGACCTATATAACATTTCATTAAAGTTGAGGTGATTTTGGTTTACCAGCTGGTATGTGTTTTAAATTTTTATAGCCGAATCTTTCTGAAAGGTTAATGAAAAATTTTAAAATGAAAATTATCTCTAACAAAAAAAAAAGTGACATATTAATCTTTTTGGAGAAAAAGGATAAATATATCCTAACTGACGTAAATGGTAAATAGATATCCTTCGTCATATTTTTGAGATATTGATGTCCTTGTCATCCAAAAATTAAAGCATATATGCCCTTCACTCTGTGAAAAGACGAAATAGGGACACGTGACACAATCTTATTCATCGATCTGATATTTAATAAATGTCGAGTCGGTGAATAAGATTATGACACGTATATATCCGTTAGTATACAAAGTATATATACTCTAATATTTTAATGGCAAAGGCAGCAATGTCCCAAAAGTATAACAGATGGTATATCTAAATAGCACTTGTAAAAGTTCAGAGATATATTTGTCATTTTTTTACGGGGAAAATGCACAAGTACCCCCGAGACTATAACCAAAATTCCAGAAACACACCTTAATTATACTAAGGTTCTATTACCCCGCTGAATTTATTTTTTTCGTAATTTTATACACCTTTTGTCTTATGTAGCACGGTCCGTGATTCGACGCGATTAAAGCGCGTGGGAGATGATATTTGGATGTCACGTAAATAAAAAAGGTGCACAAAATTATAAGGAAAATTAGTTTAGGAGGTAATATAGGACCTTAGTTTAGTTAAGGTGTGTCTCTGAGATTTCGGTCATATTCTAAGGGATACTTGTGCATTTTTCTTTTTTTATGAGACAAAAAAATTAAAAATAATTACATAAATTGAGACGGTAAAAATATTTGGTACCATAATTGGGTTCACAGTAGATTAGTGTAGCTTTACCGAAGATAAATGAAAAAAAAAATCTATGATAATTAAATAGAGGAAAACAATTAGATTTACCCATATATATTATTCTCCACATGTTCAACAGAGTCCAACTAAAAAAACATAACATAGAAGCAATTATTTATGGTTTGACAAGCATAGCCTAAATCTGCAGCAGCAGAAATAATCTTTTTTTTTAAAAAAAATAATTAAATAATTGTTGGTAATTTAAAAATGATCAAATTTCTTGTTGTTATTGTAATATTTTCTCTTTTTGACTAAACGTATTAATAATTGAATTTATTAAAAATGTAGGTGAAATTCGAAAATCCTAAATAAAGTGAAAGTGTCATCATGCACGTGATGAAAATTAATTTCAGAAGAGAGGAGATTTATGAAAAAATAGTTGAAAATACGATGAGAGTGCGTGTATCGCGGAAGGTTGGAGAATGTGACTATGTGACAATTGAAATAAATTAAACTATGTATTACTTATGATCAATTGAGATAATTGTAACAATTTGAGATATTTGTTTGATATCAATTATCTCCCACATATGTTTGTTATATTGTTACCAAAGAACGATTCACTTATTAAGGTAAATAATAAAATACTTTTTGATTGTTTTTACAAGGTCAAATTATTTGATTTGATATAAATATTAAATATAAATATTTTTTTTAAATTTTATTTGTTTTAAAAATAATTCAAACGTATATTATTAAAGTTAAAATTTTGTGTTTAATTTACATATAAATTTAGTCATGCATGTATGACGTTTTGGCTTTTTTACTTTTAAATTTGAATATTCAAATATTATTTAAATAAACTAAAATTTAAGATATAAGTTTCATGTCATAAAGAGCAACTTTCAATTATTATTTTGTCAAAATAACAATAAATCTAGTAAACTCATTTAATAAACTTTTAATTTTTCATAACTGTTTAGATTTCAGACATATATTAAAAGTGAGTTTAGAGTCTAAAGGATATAAAATGTTAATAAAAATTTTAAAACGATACATAAATTTTTATTTTAACCAAAAGGGCAAAATCGCTAGAAGAGCAGCGATTTTGCTCACCAGAAAAAGCAACATCGCTGCTATCAGCGATTTGCAATATATATATATATATATATATATATATATTGTTTTTTAGGCAGTGATTTTCAAAATAATTTTTTTAATGATTTTTTAATAAATCGCTGCCTACTTAGCGATTTCTTTAATTTTTTTTTTTTAAAAAAGAGAAATTAAGAGCAAATCGCTGCAAGTGCAGCAATTTGTCTCCAATTTTTTTTAAAAATCAAAAGGTGGCCTTGTTTCAATTTGACATGCAGAATAAAATGTCTTTCAATAACATAAGGGAAGGGGGCAAGAATAAGTTTCTGTTCAACCTTTTTTTAAAAACTTTGATTACTACTTATTTTAAAAAATCATTAAAAAAATTATTTTGGAATAAGTAGTAAAAAAAATTTAAAATTAAAATTTCTAAAAAAAATTAATTTTTTTTAAGAAATTAAAATAATAAAAAATAATTGGAGACTTGCAGCGATTTGCTCTTAATTTTTTTTTAATTTCAAATAAATTATTTTTTTTTTAAAGAAATAGCTGCTTAGGCAGCGATTTATTAACAAATCATTAAAAAAAATTATTTTGGAAAGTTTTATCAAGGCAACGATTTGTTTTTTTAAAAATAATTTTTGTAAATAGCTGTTATTTCAGCGATTTTACTTTTTCCAACGAGCGAAATCGCTGCTCTTTCAGCGATTTTGTCCTTTTGGTTAAAATAAAAATTTATGTATAAAGATTTCCAAAAGTGTGTCTTGACTCAATTGCTGATAAGTTTTTATTTTTTTTCAATCGGTACACACTGATAACTGATATCTAACGATTTAAAATGTGTATAAATTACACACAACTCTCAACTTTAGCTAAGTTAGATAAAAAGACTGATAACTAATATCTAATGATTTAAGATATCTATAAATTACACACAACTCTCAACTTTAGCTAAGCTAGACAAAAAGTGGTGGTCTAATTAGATTGTCCATTAGTTTTTTATTGAACTTGGAGAGCACTGATCCATTATCCTTCCACTGCACGGAGCGGAGACTGTTCGTTGCTCTGTGAAACCAGCCTCACGCATTCCGCCCCACTCTAGGAGCCAAGTAGCCCAAACTTTCGTTTGGACCACATGACTCAACTCGGTGCTTGGATAGGGCAGACCAGACATTAGCCCACCAAAGCCCAGCCATCAGGAACAACCCAACATTCCACCACATTGTTGCCCCACTTGAGCTACAAGCCCTCGTTACAAGGCTCGGTAATAGAGTAGGTTCTCATCTCCATATATAAATATAAATAACCCATTATTTATAAGCGATGTGGGATAAAGAAGACCTTGATTAGTGACTCAACATTTAGATTTACCTTTATTTTAAATTTAGTTTATAATTCTTAAACATGAAAATTGAAAGTTAATTAGGATTTAATAGTGTTTTCTACTAGTGGACAAAACATAAATAAAATCACAAAAGGTAAAAAAAAAAAAAGTGAAATCAATTTTTCAAAAGTATAGTATAACTTCTTATTGAGTTTATACCTCTGTGTATGTGTTTGACAGAAAAGAAAAATATTTTTCACGAAAAATAATTTTCTAAAAAGAGTAAATCATTTTTTTAATTATTTCTTAGTGTATGCTGCGCAAACAAAACACATTGTCCTAAGAATATCGATATATTATCTAGAGAAATATTTAGATGGTGAAGCTGGAGGGTGTGTTTTATTTAAAAATTACTATTAACTATTTTTTGGTTTAAAAATGAAAAAATATTGACTAGGTTTCGAAAAATCAATTAATCTTATTATTTAAGAAAAATCGACTTTTCGAATTACGGAGTCGCCACTTGATTTTGACAAAATCAAGAAAAATTTCAAAAT